CTTCCGCTGGATCCGGTCACTCCGCGACGGTTGTGTGTGCGGGGTGCCTTCACTGCAGCAACACGTGAGAGCATGTAAATACGTGTGTGTGGGCGGTGTGTGTGACGTTTGTCCTTTCAGAGCCTTACAATTTCACAGTAGCGTTTAGCGCTTGGTCGTAAACTTCTTCCTTCGTGTGCGTGGAAAAGTAGAGAGAGAAGGAAGCATGCCAAGCAAAGAGACAAGACAGTGAGCACAGCCACCCATCCACACTGTGAGTGGCACCATCATCCCCGCCGCAGCCACTCCCAACAACAGCAACTCACGCACACAGACTCACGGAACAGGAGAAGGAAGAACAGTGCACCGGGAACACGCAGCGACTGTCGCCACCACCAGCAGGAGCCACGGCGGGTGCTTCTCCCACGCGTCAGCACACACCAAGGAGCGCCCACACAAGAAACAAACGGCAGGACGCAAAAGGACACAGCCGCCCTTCGCACCACCCATGCGCTGCCGCCAGCCTTTTCACTGTTGTCTCCGCCACCGCACGTGCCGCACCGTCTCCCACACGCCCCAATTAACTCCCGGTCCCTTCCCCTCCGTTGCTGGACATCACCTCACACAGCCGGAAAATCCCCAACAACAAATCCACAGCGGGAAAGACGCGTCGGCACGCGAGGCTGCAGGGCGGGAAGCAATCCGCACTCATCCCAGGCACCCTCAACACCACACCACTCACCGGCCCGCAGGCCGCCAACATCACACCAGGAACACGTCAATAAAATAAATCGCACGCTTCTTCCCTCCTCGCAGAAGCCACCGCAGCCAGAATATTGTGCGTGCAGGCGTTCTCAGCGCTCACGTCGCTCCACAGCGTGTGCGGCATGGCGTGTCTATCTGTGCATGTGTGCTCCTGTGTTTGTCAGCGCCTATACTCACGGAGCAGCTGTGCGCCACAAGAGAGTCCAAAGAAAGCAACGACCGAAAGAGGCGGGTAGCACACACGCACAAATTACTCATATCATCACACACAAACACACACACGCAGCCCGCAGAATGGGTGCTCTCAACCACAAAACAATAAAAAACAAAACAAAAAGCCGAAGCGTGGGACGACCAGCGCACACACTCTCATTGCTCCCGTAAAGCAAAACACACACACAGGGAGAGAGAGAGAGGTCGCCCACTCAATGCAACGGAAACAAAACAGAAACAGTTACGGAGCTCCGCCCATGCAGCCAGGCAGGACGGCAGCGGTGCGTGTCGTGCAAAAGAGAGCACCAACGGGCCTGCATGGGTGTGCATGCAATATATACAATGGGCACATTATGTGTGTGCTTCGTGGGGTGAGGTGAGGGCGAGAGTCCATGCAAGGGGACACACACAGAAAGAGTGAGTGAAGGACAAGTGTGTGTGTGGGCGGTGCACGGCTCTCTCTCACTCACTCTCACGCGGCCACCACCGCAGCAGCAGCCGCACACACAACAACAAGAAGCAAAAGAGGGGAGGTGGAGTAGGAGACCGCGGTGCTGCCGTCACTGTCGCCAGGTGTCACCGTACCATTTGTTTGAGCGGCGATTGCTTTTGCTGCTTGTGGTGCTGCATCGCTGGCTGCAGATGGACCGTGGGTATCACCAGCTTCGGTTCCGTCGTTCTGCGGTCCTTCGGGGTTAGGCCGTTGAGGGTCGTCATCATCCGCATCCGCCTCACTCTGGGCACCACCACTGCCACTTGTGGAGATGGGTGATGCTGCTGTTCCTTGTGTTCCTTCCGTTTCTTGCGCTCCCTGTGCGTCTGCTTCCTTATCTTGTTGCCCTGCCTCACCATCCTCTGAAGGCCGTTCCAGTGGGTTGGACTTCGTTTCGTTTTTTGAAGCTGAGTTTCCTGCATTGTTTTCTGGTGAATTATGGGTGTCGTCTGATGCTGGTGGTACTCCCCCTGCTGGTGGTGATAATACTTCCGCTTGTGGTGTGACTGTTTTGACCGGTGGGCCGCTGGGAGTGTTGTCCGTGTCCTCCGCCTCCCGCCTTGCCTCGTTTCCAGTTCCACCAAAAGTAACAAGAGCTTCTGCTCTTATTTTTTGAGTATCGGGTTCTGATTTCTGAACTTCCTCCCTTTTGAGCAATGCGGAATCTACAGACGTTCCTGACTGCACAACTTTCTCAGGGGATTTCCTTCCCTGAGGCGATGGATCCTCGCCAGGGTCCTGTGGAGCACCCTTCCCATCGAGAGTGGGAGGTCGTGGAGAACTACCGCCAGAAGAAGAAGAAGGATTCGACAAGTTATCTCCGCCAGAAACACCACTTTGGCCGCTTTTCATGCCATCAACGCCACCACTACGACCACCAGAGCCACCGGTACCCGAAGATTCACTTGAATTACCCCCTTCCGATGCAGGAACTTCTCCCTCAGGAGCATCGGCCTGTAAGACAGTGATGGGCAATGCTGACCGAAAAGGCAGCTTCGGCGCGGTTTTATCACACCCACCAGGCACACGGGAACAATTCGTACCCAACACTCCCGAGGTCATGCAATCACCCAGTGCCTTGTTGTCGATGTCCCTCGCATAAACCCCGCCGGCACCGCACCACAGCACGCAGAGGACACACACCAGCAGCACACGGCCAGTCATCATCATCGCCATCACTCCTGCCACTTGCGTGTAGCCTTCAGCAAAAACTAACAACACGTCAACGCAGAGCGGAAGCAAAAGGAGAAAAAGAGACGGCCGCTGCAACACACACAGCCAACGCACAGCCATAAATGGCATCAACCCCGCAGCGGCAGCGGCAGCTCACACACTCCATGAGGTAGATAGAACCAGTGGAAGGGAAAAAAAGACGCACAGCGCCCCGAATAAATTAAAAAGCAAGAAAACACACAAAAAATTCAAAACAGAAACACAAGTAAACAAACAGCAATAAAGTCAAAAAAGTAAACACACAAAAAAAAAGGTGCAACGAATGGCTCCAGTGCGCATGCACCCATCTACAAATGTACGTCCACGCAAAAAGCCGCATGCGTGTCGTGTATACAAGGGCGTCTGGATACGTGCTAACTGGCGAATGTGGAGAACAACGCGGAGCACACAGCAGAGCAGCAGAAGTAAACGAAGCAAACAACAATCACCATAATTACTCTTACTTTATACATCGGACAACAACACACGCGCAAAAATCCCCGCGGTTGAGTGCTGGCACGCACAGCCTGCACACACCTCTTCAGCCCAGAGCGGTGTACGCCAGCGCGGATACGGCGAGCACCAACGGGGCACACACCCACGCAGAGCTACTGAGGCTTCCGTCGATTTCGCGAAGACGTGACGGTGCGTGGGTGGTCGTCGTAGTAGGCGTCTCCGTATTCATGGCCGTGCTACTTGGTGCCTCTGGCGCAGTGGTCGTCGTGGTTGTCGTCGTGGTCGTGGCATTTGGCTTGTGTTCGGAATTACTGGGTGCCTCTGACGCAGCGGGCCTCTCAACTGTTACCAGTGGCGCACCCGGTCCCGGTCCCGTACTGACCGCGGAATTCGATGTATGTGGCGTTTTGTCCGTGACGGTTGCATCCTGTCGATCTAACTGCGTGGGCCTCTCACTTGATGACTCTGATGTATGGCCCACACCTGATCCTTCTCTCGATTCATCATCCTGATTTTGTGCCCCTGAGGTACCTGGCGTAATTATTGACCCTCCCGTGCCTACTCCCCCTTCAGCCCCGGCCACACCTTTTACCTCCGGGGAAGGTGACAGTGAATCGGGGTCTTGAGCTGTCGCGCCCACTGACAGGCGGCAGCACAGGGCGAGCACCAGCAGGGCGCACAGCAGACGGCACGTCATCATCGTGAGTGTGGTCGTTCAGTGGTGTGGAGCTGATCTGCACAGTGAGGGACATGGAGAGCAACAGGGGAGACGAGAGGTGCGGCAGACACACACAGAGAGGGCACACCACATGAGGGGAGAGAGGGCAGCAGCCAGGCACGCACCGTACGCCGCACACAACGCACGACTCCCAAAAACAAAACAAAGCAGAAAAAAAGCTCTCAGCAGAAGCTTTCGTTTCATGTGCCCCAAAGCATACAGGAAATGGGTGCGTGCACACATATTGCCTGCACAAACAAAAAAGGTCGCATTCCTCCACCAGCCCACACAACATCCCTCACATTCCATGCGGCATCCGGCCTGTCCCTCCAATCCCCGTTTTGTGCGGTCCGTGGGACGCACGGCAGTGAGGCCGGCACCGCGTGTGGGTGGCAGAAGCAAACAAAAGGAAGAAACACGTCACTCATGACGGTGTGTCTGTTAGGCGGACATTGGGGGAAAAAGGATTTTGAAAAAAGATCAGAAAACAGACACAAAAGCACACGGAGGCGCTGATGAACCCAACAAGCACCTGCGCCAAAAAAACAAAAGGAAAAAAAAAAACAGAAAAATAAAGTCCTCGGCAAAATGCAGTAAGTGCTGCTGGAAAGCTGAACAGTTTTTTCCCCACGGGGAGTCGCAACTCCACCCCCCATGCCTTCTTCAGCACAGAGCCGCCATGCCCCACAGTTGCAGCACCAAAGCAGGCAGTAGTAGCACCGGGGACACAGACAAGTGGACGGTGCTGTCGCCAGAACTCGGGTCACCCTCGTGCTTCCTCTGCTGTTTAGCAACACCCGATTGTGGAATAGGGACTGTGCTTGCATTGAGTTGCTCCAACCCTTCACCATACACTGTGTGGTTGTACAGAATAACGTTGGTCACCGTCATATGGCTGCTCTCCGTGCCTCTCGCACTGCCCCAGCCAATAAAGAGGTATGAGATCCTGTGTTTCTCCAGCAGGGTTTCAAAGCTTTCCTCTTCCTCCTTCTGCATGCACAATCCCCTCCCATCCACAAACACGTAGCATCCATCCGTATTCATTTCAAACGTCACTTGATACGTCGTGTTTGGTTTCCAGTCAAAAAGAGCAGGCTTGTCAGGATTAGCGTCACTAGGAGTCATGGAGCTCCTCTTCTTTTCGTGGGTGTACGAAATGCCAATGAGAACCGTGCTGTTGGGGTCGCTCATCCCCACACCCACCAAAGGGACGTTGCCACTCTCCGGCACCTCGTGAATCGACACCGCCGCCGCAAGAGTGAACTCCCTGTTTGCAAAGTGGTGCGGCACAGTCGGCCCATTCATGTCGACCGGCCACTGCGCTCCTGCTCCGGCGCCTTTGAGCGTCACTCCATTAACAGCCGCTGCCGTATTCTTTATTATTGCGCCCACGCCGAGGTACTCGTCCCGCCACTCGGTCTCAGTTGAGCTGCCGGACAAAAAGGCAGCCAGCCCTTTGGTGGGAACAGGACCAGTGCACATGCCATTTGCTGCCGCCCAGCCAACCTTGGCAGTACGGCTGCATCATTGCAGAGCGCTGTCCAAATCCGTCCATTTCTTCGCCACCTCCTTTACACGCTCCAGCCCCGTCGCCACGCGCACTGCAACATGACCGTTTGATCCGTCCTCGCTCCTCTTTTTGTTCTCGTACAGTGAAAGCAACTCGTCATTATTCCCTTTCACCAACAGGGAGCTGGCGGCAGCGTCGTCACCCTCACGGGATATCGGACCAACATCGTGCACACGCACACTGCTCATCACCCAAAGATGGAGCCGACCCTTTTCATTCTCCTTAGAATACGCGGGCAGGGCGGCGAGCATCACCTTCTCGCCCGCAATGACTGCGGTGGTGGATCCACTCTGCACTCCGTACCCTTTTCTATCATGTGAGTTGCCCCACACGCGATTAATCGGCATACGATTTGGATACCAACTCGTCCCATGCCCATCGGACATGCACAGTTGGTGCTGGCCATCTTCACAAGAAGACATCAGAATAAGTTTTTTGCCAGTCACCCACTCCACAACGGATAGATCCCTGCAGCCCCTGCCAGCCGTGCCATACGAAAGCCCCCATTTATTATCCGACGAAGTGAACTGCATGGCGAGCAAAACACTCTTTCCATCGCCGTCTGTGGCCTGCAGGGGAAACACAATCGTGCCGCCATGAAACGCAACACCCAAACCTCCTCCACCATTCAAATTCTTCAGGGAGTTAGTGCGACCTCCGGCATCGGGTATAACCGCATGGGTCCCACTGCACCGGATCTTCTTGCTCTCACCCTCTCCAGTGACGGTCCTCCTCACAAGCAAAAGGCCCCAGTTGCTTGCGTCAGCCGGTTGTGTGTCCGAATTTGTTTTGCCGTAGTCCCCAAGAGGCAAGTAGATGTTGCCACCACTCACAACTGTTGTGGGCCGCATTATCTCTGTTGCCTCCTTACCATCCGTAGCAGCAACACCCCCCAGAAATTGCGCAAAAGGAACACTATTGTCCGCCATCGAGATCTCCATTGGACCACCACTTAAATTCAGCCGCCTCGCCATAATCCCATCACAGCCGCTGACTCCGCCTTCTGCCCTGCACTGAACCCCAGCAATGGCAAACACACCGCCCTTCACACTCACAAAGCTGGGAGCACGAAGCAACGTAACTTCCACGTCATTTTTACCTTCGCCCTATTTAGCAGAAGAAATCATTATCATCCCTTCAAATTGATCAATGAGCCGCACCGAATTACTTTCCTCAGCTTCCACAGCTCCATCGGTGCCGCAGCACATCATCACGAGGAGGAGGAGGGGCAGCGCCGCCGAAGTAAACGCACGCCGGGACATGTTGGGCCTCTGCGGCTCACTCTCTCCTCCTTCCCTCCTCCTTCCGCTGGATCCGGTCACGCCGCGACGGTTGTGTGTGCGGGGTGCCTTCACTGCAGCAACACGTGAGAGCATATAAATATGTGTTTGTGGGCGGTGTGTGTGCTTTTGGTCCTTTCAGAGCCTTCGAATCTCACGGTGGCGATTAGCGCTTGTTTTCCTTCTGTGTGTGTTCAACAAGTGGAGGAGACAGCGACAGCGGCAATACATCAGAGACGTCAGTGAGGAGCGGAGCAGAGCACCCACGCAGAGAGCAGGAGACAAGACAATCCGGAAGGGACGGCACGGAGGACCATCGCCCACAGAAAAGAGCAGCAACACGGCAATTCGCGACAGGCCGTCGGTGTGTGCGCGCCAGCCCTCACGCGGTGCAACACGCCACACCCAACAGCGAAAGATAGACAGACAGGCGGAGGGAGATGGATGCCGTCAGGAGGCAATTACGATCAAAATGGCCCGTGAGCATGCGGCCACTCCGCGCAGGAACACAGGAGGAGAGGATGACGAGGGAAAGGCAAGAAGCAGCAAAAAAAGCACACGGAAGGAACAAACAACAAGCGGGAAAGGCACCGCCACGGCCCTCACCCTGGCCGGCGACTCCACACCAGCCCTCACACACACAAACACCATCGCAGTGCCGTCAGTCCGCGGGTGAGAGGATTCGGCCCTCCACACAACAAACGCACACACCGCCAGCAGCCACCCACCATGGAAGAGAAGAGACCCAACGCCACCACCACCTCCAGTTCAATCCCACGGCCAACGGGATACGGCCACAGCCCCGCAGCCAACACACAACGCACACGGAGCGAGCAATCACCACAGAGCCACACACGCCGAAGCGGATCCTCACCCAGCCATGACGCGCCGCCTCACCCCATGCGGTCACACGGAGTGCACCATTTCCTCAATACAACCT